AAGAATCAAGTCAAAGATTTGAAATGCGAAGAAGCAAAAAATACCCAACCGGAAAAGCAAAATGAAAAGAATACGAAAATACGAAGATAGTGTAAGGAGCCTCTGGGACAGTTTCAAAGGTACCAACATCAGAATTATAGGAGTACCAGATGATGAGAGACAGCAAGATATTGAAAACCTATTTGAAGAAATAATGACAGAAAATTTCGCACACCTGGTGAAAGAAATGGACTTACAGGTCCAAGAAGCGCAGAGAACCCCAAACAAAAGGAATCCAAAGAGGACCACACCAAGACACATCATCATTAAAATGCCAAGAGCAAAAGACAAAGAGAGAATCTTAAAAGCAGCAAGAGAAAGAGACTCAATTACCTACAAGGGAATACCCATACGACTGTCAGCTGATTTCTCAACAGAAACTTTGCAGGCCAGAAGGGAATGGCAAGAAATATTCAAAGTGATGAATACCAAGAACCTACAACCAAGATTACTTTATCCAGCAAAGCTATCATTCAGAATTGAAGGTCAGATAAAGAGCTTCACAGATAAGGAAAAGCTAAAGGAGTTCATCACCACTAAACCAGTATTATACGAAATGCTGAAAGGTATCCTTTAAGAAGAGGAAGAAGAAAAAGGTAAAGATACAAATTATGAACAACAAACATGCATCTATCAACAAGTGAATCTAAGAATCAAGTGAATTGCCCTAACCGGTTTGGCTCAGTGGATAGAGCGTCAGCCTGCGGACTGAAGGGTCCCAGGTTTGATTCTGGTCAAGGGCATGTACCTCGGTTGTGGGCACATCCCCAGTAGGGGGTGTGCAGGAGGCTGCTGGTCGATGTTTCTCTCTCATCAATGTTTCTAACTCTGTCCCTCTCCCTTCCTCTCTGTAAAAAGTCAATAAAATATATTTTTTAAAAAAAAGAATCAAGTGAATAAATAATCTGATGTACAGAATGAACTGGTCATCATAATGAATTCAGGGACATAGAAAGGGAATGGACTGACTATTCTGGGGGGGGAAGGGGAGTGGGAGATGCGGGAAGAGACTGGACAAAAATCGTGCACCTATGGATTAGGACAGTGGGTGGAGAGTGAGGGTGGAGGGTGGGGCGGGAACTGGGAGGAGGGGAGTTGGGTGGGGGGAAAGAGGAACAAATGTAATCTGAACAATAAAGATTTAATTTAACAAAAAAAAAAAAAGAAGAAAGCCACAGCAGCACCCCAGGCACCACTGCTCTCCTCCTCCCCCACCCCCACAAAGATGAATATGCAGGAGGGCTGTGCTAGGCTTTGCCAAAGGGAAACATCCTCATTAGGCATTCATGGACTTGGAACTTGCCTAAGGGTACCCACATTTCATTGCAGTCTTGGCTTTGAATGCTAATAAAGGTAAATTTTGTTGACCACTTCCTCAAATCCCCCATTGTACCTGCTCCCTGTGAAGCACTTTTTTTCTTTCTAAATACACCAGAAGGAATTAACCAGAAAAAGTAGTGTCACATTTTAATAGTTGATTTTAAAGTTTGCAAGCCAAATTCTAAGACAAATGATGTTCTAAGCAAAACAAAAGAGCCAATAGACATATTCTTTTTCTTGTAATTGATAGAGAATTTTCTTTGCATTTTTTACACAACTGCTGCTAAAATTGAAGTGTACTAGTTAAACAAAATATTTTAAACATTTGTTTTGTTATAGGAAATTTATCCCTTGTAATGTTAGCTACATTACTTTTTTTAAAATATATTTTTATTGATTTCAGCAAAGAGGAAGGGAGAGAGATAGAGAGTTAGAAACATCGATGAGAGAGAAACATCGACCAGCTGCCTCCTGCACATCTCCTACTGGGGATGTGCCCGCAACCCAGGTACATGCCCTTGACCGGAATCGAACCTGGGACCTCTCAGTCCGAAGACCAACGCTCTATCCACTGAGCCAAACCGGTTTCGGCTACATTTCTTTTTTTAAAATATATTTTTATTGATTTCAGCAAGGAAGGGAGAGGGAGAGAGAGATAGAAACATCAATGAGAGTGTCATTACTAAGAGGTGATGCAGGCGTTGGCAAACATTTGCTGAAAGGGATAGATTAACATTTTCCAATTTGCAGACCAAATGCCACAGAGGATACATGACAAAACAGGCTGGTCATTGCTGGTTTAGTCCCTGAGTCTCCAGTTAGTCAATTAATGGACTGAAGGTTAAAAAAACAGAAGGACTGCCCGAGCCAGTTTGGCTCAGTGGATGGAGCGTTGGCCTGCGGACTGAAGGGTCCCAAGTTCGATTCTGGTCAAGGGCACGTGCCTAGGTTGCGGGCACATCCCCAGTGGGGGGCGTGCAGGAGGCAGCTGATCAATTTTTCTAACTCTCTATCCCTCTCCCTTCCTCTCTATAAAAAAATAAATAAAATATATTTTTTAAAAAAACAACAAAAAACAGATGGACTGCCTTAGCCGGTTTAGCTCAATGGAAAGAGCGTAGGCTAGAGCGTGGGCCTGAGGACTGAAGGGTCCCTGGTTGATTCCAGCCAAGGGCACATGCCTGGGTTGCGGGCTCGTTCCCCAGTAGGGGACGTGCAAGAGGCAGCCCATCAATGATTCTCATCACTGATGTTTCTATCAATCTCTCCCTACCCCTCTGAAATCAATAAAGAAATAAATAAAATAAAAAAACACAGAAGGAATGGAAATAGAACTCTGGGATCAATGCCTTTGGCCCCAACAGCAGCCCGGGTCCTAACCTTACAACACACACCAGGGATCCTCCACTTCCAAAACTTCACCCTTACAAGCTCCTCAGGACCACACTGACCACACTTCCTTCTTAATCAGAAACCCGGGCGAGACACTGCCGTGTGCAGACCTCCCTCGCCGACCTCAACATCACTGACCCGCGTCTTAGACCCCAACCTGAACCTGACACCGCCATCTTCCTAAATGCCTCCTGCACTTCTTCCACGTGGGGTGAGCCGCAGCACTTCTTCCACGTGGGGTGAGCCGCAGCGCCCATAGCCTCACAGTCAGGACAAGGGCGTCGTCACCTCTACAGACTCTTCATCTGAGCACCGGCCCCGCGGGCACCCCGACCACCGACAGACGCCTCTGCTTCCCTTCAAATACCTCACCTCCCGTTTCTACACGGGTCCCCTCAGCTACGTCCTCCCGCCGCTGCTACCCTCCCCCTCCGTCCCCGTGATGATTCCACGCTCCGCACAACACCGCGCCCGCACGTCACCTGTGAGAAACCAAACTCCTACCGCGACGCAAACACTTCCGTGCACTCACCTGAGTTTTCCCTCAAAACGCCGCCTTACCGCACAAACAGCGCGCGAACCCTTTCAACTTCTGCGCGCGTCCCGCTGCCTCTACGGTGGCCGAGGAGGATCTCGGGCTTTTGAAGAAACGAGGCTTACGCTTTGCCGTACGTTTTCCGTGCGTTCAGGGGCAAGATGGCCGCGCCCACGCAGCGGGGGCCCTTGGGGGCCGCCATGTTGGGACGCCTGACTGCCGTACAGATGCTACAGCTGCGAATTGCATGCACGTAGCCAGGGATGGCGGTCGGGTGAGAAGCTGCTGAAATGATCTCCTTTGCGGGCACTTGGACGCTTGCGGAAAAAACGGGTACATTTTGAGAGCTTCGTGATGCCAACACGGTGCGAGCTCAGTTGCTTTCAGCGGGCTGGGCAGAGAAGTGTATGCTCCACTTTGTATTTCCTGTGCACACGCAAAACGTTCCCAAAGGATCCATGAGGACCTCAGGTGGCAGAAGAAGCAGCGCAGGAGGCGCTCCTTGTTCCACTTCTTGGGAACTTACGCACAGGTGGACCCACGCGCCTCCTTTGGATATACCAATACAGACGTCAAAGGGTACTTACTATTTTTTTAAATTATATTGGCTCAGTGAACTGCCAATATTTTACTGTTATTAAGAATATCTCAAGCATTCATTGACTGCATTCATTTATCTTAATTTTTATTTTTTTTATTTTTTAAAAATATATTTTATTGATTTTTTACAGAGAGGAAGGGAAAGAAATAGAGAGTTAGAAACATCGATGAGAGAGAAACATCGATCAGCTGCCTCCTGCACACCCCCTACTGGGGATGTGCCTGCAACCAAGGTACATGCCCTTGACCGGAATCGAACCTGGGACCCTTCAGAACACAGGCCAATGCTGTAGCCACTGAGCCAAACTGGTCAGGGCCTGAAGCACTTTTTAATAACAGAAAGGTTTTCAGAAGCTGGTACAGTGTGAGGCTGGGCATCACCAACGAGGAGAGAGGAACTCTGGGAGAAGCCTAAATTGTCATGGGGGGTGGGGACCCTGAAAAAGGCCACTAAAGTGAAGGCAGTAAAAGTCTGGAATCAATGGCAAGGCCACATCATGAATCCATCCCATTACGGGGTATATTGTAAGGGTGGTGATGGGGCTGTAATCCAGGATTTAGGGCAAAGAATGTCAGATTGAGGTGTGCATGAGGCCGCTGTTAAAACTCAATAGTCCTGGAACCCGGTTCAGTACTGGAGTTTCTGGTTTAGGGGATGTGAGATGTGAACGGGAAATGTGCATTCATTTTAAGATTCTGAGGCAGGAAGCCTGTCCATCATCAGAAACAGCCCTGTGCTGGACTTACTGGGGATCATTTTGTAAGTTATACACATGCCTAATCACTGTACACCTGAATCTAATATAATGCTGCATGTCAACTGTAATTGAAAATTTTAAAAAATATATTAAAGGATAAAAACCATCCTGGAATGTTCTCTCTCTCTCTCTCTCTCTCTCTCCCTCTCCCTCTCCCTCTCTCTTATAATCTTCACCAGAGGATACTTCTCCATTGATTTTTATTTATTTTTATTTTTATTTTTATTTTATATTTTATTGATTTTTTTACAGAGAAGGGAGAGGGATAGAGAGTTAGAAACATCGATGAGAGAGAAGCATCGATCAGTTGCCTCCTGCATGCCCCCACTGGGGATGTGCCCGCAACCAGGGTACATGCCCTTGACCGGAATCGAACCCGGGACCATTGAGTCCACAGGCTGACGCTCTATCCACTGAGCCAAACCGGTTCGGCTCCATTGATTTTTAGAGAGAGTGGAAGAGAGAGGGGAAGATAGAAATATCGATGTGAAACACATCGATTGGGTGCCTCTTGCGTGATCCCCGACCACTGGCCCCGGGGCCAGGCAGGAGTCTGCAACCCAGGTATGTGCCCTTGACCAGAACTGAACACGGGACCCTTCCATCCAAGAGCTTATGCTGTACTTACTGAGCCAAACCGGCTAGGGGTGGAATGTTCTCTCTCTTTTTTTAAAATATATTTTATTGATTTTTTTACAGAGAGGAAGGGAGAGGGATAGAGAGCTAGAAACATCCATGAGAGAGAGCCATCGATCAGCTGCCTCCTGCACACCTCCCACTGGGGATGTGCCCGCAACCAAGGTACATGCCCTTGACTGGAATCGAACCTGGGACCTTTCAGTCCGCAGGCCGACGCTCTATCCAGTGAGCCAAACAAGCTAGGCTGGAATGTTTTCTTGATACACACATTATGATGGGTGACTCCCCCCAGTCCCTCAGTCTTGGTTCAAAATATATCCAGAAAAGCCTAACAGAGCAGGGCCAGAATACCACCCCCCATCCCATTACAACATATACATTATTATAAATTAGTATCTATTGCTGTCTGTTATTCTTTTTTTTTTAAATACATTTTATTGATTTTTTACAGAGAGGAAGGGAGAGAGATAGAGAGTTAGAAACACCGATGAGAGAGAAACATCGATCAGCCGCCTCTTGCACATCTCCTACTGAGGATGTGCCCGCAACCCAGGTACATGCCCTTGACCGGAATCGAACCTGGGACCCTTCAGTCCGCAGGCCGACGCCCTATCCACTGAGCCAAACCGGTTTTGGCCTGTTATTCTTCCTCATAGGATTTATCACCTGCTGAGATTGCACAATCCATTTACTGTCTCTCTCCCGCCATTATAAGGTCCATAAAAGCTGTTCCTTTGCCTGCTTTGCTTACTGATGGAACTTCAGTGGGTACTACAGTGTCCGGCACAACATTTGGTGCCTGAAAATATGTCTGAAGGAGTATAAATTACCCCAAAACCAGCATTTGAGATTAAATCCTGAAAGAGCCACCACATAGCAGAGCTAATTTCCATTTCTTTCCCAAAAGCAAAACTGTTTATAGTGTGGATCGTGGGAAACTATGGGACAGTTATGAGACTAAGGGAGAGTGCCCTGGAGAGTGAAAGAACCAGAGTCCCTCTCCCAGGAGAAGGAGAGGGAAAAGGAAGAGAAAGCACATGTCTCAATTCAGCAGGAAACAGTGGAGCTGGAAGCTTTGAAATGGTGGCAGCTCTTAAGAATGATTGATAGTCCCTTGGACAAATGCAAAGGCTTTGCTTGACAACATCCCTTAAGGATCTCACACCCCATCCCCCACATTCTCCATTCTTAGAGACTAAGATTCTTGTCACCCTTTTTGCTCTATTTATTCTGAACACCTTTTTCTCTCCTGCTCTGCCCAGTTTAAATTCAGTTAAAGTTTCTACTCACACATGATTTTGGGGGGGACCGTATGGTCAGCCGATGTGACTCAGAGGCTGAGCATCCACCTATGAACCAGGAGGTGGCTGTTCAATTCCTGGTCAGGGCATATGCCTGGGTTGTGTGCTCTATCACAGGTGGGAGTCATGCAAGGGGAAGGCGATCAATATTCTCTCTTGCCGAAACCGGTTTGGCTCAATGGATAGAGCGTTGGCCTGCAGACTGAAAGGTCCCAAGTTCGATTCCGGTCAAGGGCATGTACCTGGGTTGCGGGCACATCCCCAGTAGGAGATGTGCAAGAGGCAGCTGATCGATGTTTCTCTCTCATCGATGTTTCTAACTCTCTATCTCTCTCCCTTCCTCTCTGTAAAAAAATCAATAAAATATATTTTTAAAAAAATATTCTCTCTCATCAGTGATGTGTCCATTCTTCTCTCTCTCTCTCTCTCCCCTGAGGATAAAAATATATATATTTTAAAAAATAATTTGTGCCCTAGACTGTTTTTGCTTAGTGGATAGAGTGTCGATCCTTGGACCAAAGGTTCCGGGATTGAATTCTGGTTAAGTACATATACCTTGGTTTCAGATTCCCTGGACCTGGTTTCTCTCTTTCTCTCCCTCTCCCTTACTCTCTGAAAAATCGATGGAAAAATATTCTAGGGTGAGGATTAACAATAACAACAAAAAAAAGAATAATTTGTGGGGAGATAACTGTTCCTTTTTAAAATCTATTTTCACTGATTTCAGAGAGGAAAGGAGGCGAGAGAGAAACATCAGAGAGAATCATACAGATAGAAACATCAATGACCTGCTGCCTTCTGCAAGCCCCACACTGGGGATCAAGCCTGCAACCTGGACCTGGAATGGAACTGTGAACTCCTGGTTCATAGGTCCGATGCTCGACCACTGACCGACCCAGACTGGGTGAGACAACTGTTTTTTGTTTTTTTGTTTTTTAAATATATTTTTTATTGATATTTTACAGAGAGGAAGGGAGAGAGACAGAGAGTTAGAAACATCGATGAGAGAGAAACATCGATCAGCTGCCTCCTGCACATCTCCCACCGGGCATGTGCCCGAAACCCAGGCACATGCCCCTGACCGGAATCGAACCTGGGATCTTTCAGTCCGCAGGCTGACTGACGCTCCATCCACTGAGCCAAACCGGTTTCGGCTAGAGACAACTGTTTTCTACAATTTTTTATGATCGCCTTTCAATGGCTCATTCCTGTCAGTGACAAAAAACTCTGATTAGTAATTTTAGCACAACCAGTCACTTCCCAAATCAACATACAACTGGTTTTTATTTTTCTGGGCTGGGAAATATAGAATCATTTCAAGCAGTGCCCTCCAATATAACTCCCTGGCATAATGCAAATTATGAGATTTCTCTGAGTAGCCATATTGTTAGCTACAAAGTTTTGTTCATTGTGCTGTCCGATGAGGTCGCTACTAGTCACACATATATGGCTACTGAGCACTTGAAACATATATGGCTACTGCGCACTTGAAACGTGCTTTACGGCACCCTTGCAACAGTTTTTATTTGTTTTGTAAAGATGAAAAATTTAGTCACCAATGGGAAGCAATAGAAGACCAGGAGGTGAGAGGGCAACAGAAGCTAGAGGGTCCGAGGAGGTGGGAGCCCCCAGGAGAGCACTATCCTGGCGGAGGGGGATCCTTAGTGTCAATGCATATATTCCAATGCACATTGGAAGACGCCAGAGCCAGCCTGGATCCTGAGATGTTGACAGTGGCAACTCTGACTCATCCACCAGCCTCACCCTCCTAAGTGACAGCCAACTCTCCTTGCAGATTGGGGCTCAGTTTAAGCTGCTTCCCATGAATGAGCAGATCTGGGAGCTGCAAACCATCATCCGGACAAAACAGCCAGTAGAAGGGACCTCATGTTTTCTGCAAATTATTTGATCAGATTTGTTGTGGAAGAGAGATTGGATGAACTGCCCTAGAAAGAAGGCATGGCATATATGCATAATCCATGGACACAGACAATGGGGAGGTAAGGGCCTGGGGCAGTGGGCGGGGGCTGGCTGGAGGGGATCCATGGGGGGAAAATAGGATATATGTAATAATTTCAACATAAAGAATTATTTCTTTCTTTAAAAAATATTTTTATTGATTTCAGAGAGGAAGGGAAAGGGAGAGAGAGAAAGAAACATCAATGATGAGAATCATGGATTGGTTGCCTCCTGCACGCCCCCTACTGGGGATCCAGCCCGAAACCCAGGCATGTGTCCTTAACTGGTATCGAACCTGGGACCCTTTAGTTCCCAGGCCGATGCTCTATCCACTGAGCTAAACCAGCTAGGGCAAGAATTATTTCTTCTTTTTCTAAAAATATTTTTATTGATCTCAGAGATGAAGGGAAGGAAATGTCAATGATGAGACTGAATTATTGATCAGCTGCCTCCTGCACGCCCCACACTGTGGATGGAGCCCACAACCCGGGCATGTACCCAGATCTGGAATTGAACCCTGACCTCCTGGTTCAGAGGTCAATCACTGAGCAACACCAGTCGGGTTTGCAAAATATTTTAATAATATTCTTATGCCAATTGCAGATCCCTCAGTACATTGAAACTGTTTCCTAATTGGTAAACTTTCTCTTACAGCCACAAATAAACCCAAATGGGAGTAAGTTTTTTGATCCTCTCTAGTTCGCATTTTGTTTAGTTTGCTTACAGTTCATGAGGGCTCCAATTACAGTGGACATATAGCATTATATTAGTTTTAGGCGTACAGCATTGTGATAGGCATGAATATAATTTACAAAATGAGTTCTATTTAAATAAATTTCTGCTTCTATAAGCCACCCAGGCTATGGTATTGTCTTACCGCAATGAGAACAAACTAAGACCAGGCCCGTTTCCCGGGTGTAGACACTGATATACCCTTACACGATTAGCTGGTGTGTACAGGTGCCACTTAGAGATAAGATCACATGACCACCTGAATGCTGTCTCTGGGACACCATGACCTTCTTCTCTTTTCATCACTACTGCCTCTTCAGCTCCTGGAACAGAACCAGGTACAAAGGAAGTACTTGACAGAAACTCAGTATAAATAAATGAATAGACCCAATATAAAGCTTCTGTTTCATAGGTCCCTCTGCATAACATAAACTTCTTAAAGAGTTTAGGTAGACACGCCCATTTTCAATTAACCATTCACACTGGTCTGGGGAAACTGAATTGATAAATACATGCACATATACCACTAATCCAGTATTAGTACTTTAGTGGTTTTCGCTCATACCAACATTTCAGATACAATTACGTTCATGTTTTCAAAATTCACTTATTACCTCCAAATAGCTCCTTTTATTTCTTCAACTGACACAATTGACCAATTGATGTATGTGTTTGGGTTAAGATCAGAATATGCCTTCATAGCAGTGCATATATGTAATAGCAGGAGACTCTCATAACTTCCCAGTTTCAGCACGTAGACAATTTCTCTCAGGATATACTTTTCGACAATAACCTGAACCAGAATTTTTTTTTAAAAAAATACATTTTATTGATTTTTTTTTTACAGAGAGGAAGGGAGAGGAATAGAGAGTTGAGAGAAACATCGATCAGCTGCCTCCTGCACACTCCCTACTGAGTATGTGCCCACAACCAAGGTACATGCCCTTGACCGGAATCGAACCTGGGACCCTTCAGTCCGCAGGCCGACGCTCTATCCACTGAGCCAAACCGGTTAGGGCTGAACTAGAATTTTTTGATGAAATCTTTGCACACAGGATGACACCTATTGGTTTCCTGTGACATAAAGTAACACATACCTGACTCCTATTGGTTTCCTATGACATAAAGTAACACATAATTGGTCACTGACGGTGAGACCACACTCACTGCATTCAGAAGGTTTCTGTCCTGTGTACCTCTGGCCTCAGGCTCACCCACGGTGACTACATTCCTGTTTGCTAGAGGCCCACTCATGTTTAATACTGTCGGAGGGACCACAGAAGGCCCCGGCATAGTCACCGTATCAACAAGGTTTATCTCCTGCAGGGCAACACTGGTCTGTGATGAGCGGGGACTCTCTGAGCGAGGAAGTATCGCCTTGACTGGGCCACCATGAGTTGCTCTTGGGTGTATTTTTTTATGTGTCACAAGGGTAGACACGTAGGCAAAAGCTTCCCCACACGTGTTGCAGGTATAGGGTCTCTCTGTCGTGTGAATTCTTTGATGTTTAATGAGACTTAACTTCCGGGAGAAGAATTTTCCACACTCGCTGCACACAAAGGGGGTCTTTCCTGTGTGAAACCTCTGATGTGCTATGAGATCGCCCTTCTGGATGAAGCCTTTCCCACATTCGTTGCATATATAAGGCTTCTCCCCCGTGTGAATTCGCCTGTGTACAGTGAGATTGCTCATCCGGATGAAGCCTTTCCCACATTCCTTGCAGATACAAGGTTTCTCCCCCGTGTGAATCCGCCTGTGTACAACGAGGTCGCCGTTCCGGGTGAAGCCTTTTCCACACTCAGTGCATGTGAAGGGCTTCTCTCCTGTGTGTGTTCTCTGATGTATGTTGAGTAAGGATTTTTTGAGAAATGCTTTGCCACATTCAGAGCATTTATAAGGTTTCTCCCCTGTGTGTGTTCTCTGGCGTTCAGTGAGCATGGACTTTCTGGAGAAAGCTTTCCCGTCCTCCCTGCATTGATGTGGCTTCTCACCTGTATGAATGACCTGGTGACCAGTGAGGCAAGACTTCTTCTTGAAGGCTTTCCCACAGTCACTGCATACGTGAGCCTTCTCTCTTTTCTGAGGTTTCTGAGGTTTGACGAGTTGGGACTCAGTGTTGAGGAGTTTTTGGCTTTTGTGAAATTTCATTTCAGCCTGAAATTGTTCACCGTTAGCATGGAGAAAGGATTGTCCAGCTTTAGAATACTCAGTGGGCGTCTTGATTTCATAGTTTCTCCTCCGGTTAAGTAAAGAAAAATCTGATTTCATATTTTTTCCATGTGAGTCAAACATATGTTTTTGTCCTAACAGAGAACGGTTTGTGCTCTCATGGGCGGTATTTTCACAGGTGTTACGTTGATGCCATTGTTCTAGGCTTTCATTTTGTAAGTGTTCCGGCAGATTATCGTCATGTTTACAGATTTCTAGGGAAGAACAGAACAATGAACTCATCCAACATCTTGAACTGGAAGAAAGGTAATAAAAAAAATTATCCTGATACATTCCGCCCAGCTGGCTTGGCTAAGTGGTTGAGCATCGACCTATGAAATAGGAGGTTTTGGTTCGATTCCCAGTCAGGGCACATGCCCGGGTTGCAGGCTCAATCCCTAGTAGGGGGCATGCTGGAGGCAGCCAATCAGTGATTCTTTCTCATCATTGATATTTCTCTCTCTCTCTCTCTCTCTCTCTCTCTCTCTGCTTTCCTCTCTGAAATCAATAAAATTGTATGTTACAAATTCCATGTTCAGTGTTCTTTGGAAAACACAGTAATAAAAAGAAAGGGAAGGTAAAAGTTGAATATAAAAACAGGTTCTATGATGAAATATATATTTGTCTAATTCCTAAGGATATGACACACATGCAGACTGTAAAATATAGGCAATTTATGGTATCAACAGACACAGAAAAGGGCCACCTTAACCAAACTGGAGAGGGACAGACACTCCTTCCACATTCCTCACTGCTGACTACTGTGTACCAACACGCTCCTAGGTTGGGGACACACAGACACAGTCCTCACCTACAAGGGGCCTACACTGCAGTTTGATGAAGCCACTTAAAGGACAAAGACGTGCACAAAACAGCAACCGGTTGTGAAAACGGGTGGGAAGGCACAGTGGAGATCAGGGGTCCTCAAACTTTTTAAACAGAGGGCCAGTTCACTGTCCCTCAGACCGTTGGAGGGCCGGACTATAGTTTAAAAAAAAAACTATGAACAAATTCCTATGCACACTACACATATCTTATTTTGAAGTAAAAAAACAAATCGGGAACAAATACAATATTTGTATTTGCATGTGGCCCGCGGGCCGTAGTTTGAGGACCCTGGTGGAGATGGAGAGAGGTGGAGGAAAACAAGTTACATTTTAGAAGCCAGGACCCTGTGGGCTCATTAGTGAGGTGGGCATGGTGGGAGTAAGGTGATAACACAACAGGGAGCTCCTAGCACCTGTGACTTAACCTCCAGGAAAGAACCCTGATTTTGCAACCCAAATCCTTCTCCACATCTCATCTCCATTAACGTAAATGAGAACTCCACTCTTCCCTGTAACCAGAAAAAACTTCTCAGTATCACCCTTCATCTGGTACTCTCACTCACACACAGCATCTACCTCAATGATCAATCCCGCCTGTCCTCCCTATGAATATGCCAAGAATTGGACTAAAACCCCTTCCACATGTGGAAGCAAGTCCCTCTTTCAGACTACAGCAGTAGCCTTCTGCCTGCTTTTCCTGTTCCTCCCGGCCAGCGACTGTCTGTTATTTCTGGAATGTTCCCCACAGCCCACTCTGCTCCATCCACACCAGCTCCTGAATGTTTCTCAAACACATTCCTGCCTTTTCTACTCGCTGGCCTCTCTACATGGAATCTTCTAACCCAGCAGCCTAATGTCCCTCATCTCTTGGCTCAAAAGCATCTTATCAGAGAGGAGTTCTCTTCCTTAAAGAGCAGCCCGATCCCCAGCACCTACTGCTCCATTCTTCAGACTTAATTTTTATCACAGCAGTTTTCACCTCATCGATATATAATTTATTTGTGTGTTTTGATTCATTTTCTTACGCCTTCTCTTAAAATGAAAGCTCTTGGTATATTTGCATGCTTTGTCTCACTGCTGTTATGCCCAGTATACACTACATTATCTAAAAATAATTTGTAGAGGATGAAACAAGGAAGCAACAACAGGTATGAAATACATTGGGCAGCATTTTTGAAAAAAGATAAAAAATCTATCTCTTGCCGAAACCGGTTTGGCTCAGTGGATAGAGCGTCAGCCTGCGGACTGAAGGGTCCCGGGTTCGATTCCAGTCAAGGGCATGTACCTGGGTTGTGGGCACATCCCCAGTGGGAGATGTGCAGGAGGCGGCTGATCGATGTTTCTCTCTCATCGATGTTTCTAACTCTCTATCTCTCTCCCTTCCTCTCTGTGAAAAATCAATAAAATATATTTTTAAAAAAATCTATCTCTTTATGAACAACATATCATATCATGCAAATAACAGGAAGAAAAATTTTTATCATCATTTGATGGGTATTAGAGTTAACCAGGACTGAATGTCCTCATTCTATGGTAGGGAGAAAATGAAAGTTTGAGGGAAGTGAATGCTACAATGGTAACATCTACAATAAACAAGAACAAAGTTCAAAATTAGAAAATGCACAAAGGAATTCATTTGAAGTCAGCAAGAGTATTATTTAGGCTGGAATGTACCTAGTTAAATGTTCTAGTTAAATCACATCATGAACAAGAGAGCGCTGTGGGTAGGGAACTGATATGATGGCTGGATGGCCAGGGGGGCAGGTGCACAGGAATGAAGGAGAACCTAAACTTACAGGGGTTCTCTAGGAGGGACGATAATTTTAGTTTCTTGCCGTGACTGGGAGCTCATTGAGAGTTGCCATCGAGATGAGTAAATTCCACAGAATAGCGTCTGTGGTGGATCCCATTGGGGAGGTTGCACTATGGGAGTCTTGTGAGGGGAACAAAAGAAGCTTAGCTGATTAGAATGAATGAAACTTTGAAGGGATAGTGGTTCCGATGAGAAAATGGAAACCAGGATCTATGAAGAACCTCAGAGTGAAGAAAAAGAGAAGATAAGAGAAAAAAGAAAGGAAAGCACAGTGAGTCATTTTACTTGGGGACACAGCATCCAAGATGGGGTGGATGTTAGGAAGGCAATCAACATCAACGGGGGCAGAAAGCAGCAGTGCTCAGAAGACAGTGAGAATTTTGTCACTGAAGGGCGGCCTTGGCCAGTGCAGTCTCATAGCAGGGGAGGTGGAAGAGTATGCAGAAGGGAAAGATTTGAGTATCCTGAAAAAAAAAAAAAGAACCATGTCCGGGTGGCATGGCTCAGTGGTTGAGCGACAACCTGTGAACCAGGTCACAGTTCGATTCCTGAACAGGGCACATGCCTGGGTTGCAGGCTCAATAGCTAGTATGGGGCGTGCAGAGAGCAGCCGACCAATGATTCTCTTTCTACAAAGTGATTCTATCTCTCTATTCCTCTCCCTTCCTCTCTCTCTAAAAACAAAAACAAAAAAAAAAACATATTTAAAAAAATAAAAACCATACAACCAAAACTCAAGGTGCAGATAAAGAGGGATCAAATCCCAGAAGAGAGTAAGGGATCTATTTTTCTCTAAACTCCTACAAACAGAAAGGGGTCTCTCTCTCACTGGGAAGGACATACACTGAGGCACTGCTCACCTATCCTCAAATCCCTTCACCTCTGAGCCCCTTCTCTGAGCGCCTAGAATGTGATTTCCACAGCCCCCCTGTGCTGGTTCTCACTCACCTGAACAGGTTCCACAGAGGAGTTCACCTGCCACTGTCCATGGTGCTTCCCTGTGATCCAACTTGGAAAGTACATCTGGTTTGGTGGCCTCACAACCTGTTCATGGGGAATGATGGAAGCCTTAGACACACTGAATAGGACTTGGGGTTTGTGAAGACCATAGAATATAATATTTAAAGACTAAACAATTTTCACACTTAGACAGTAAAGGCTATTTTCTCAGGAGAAGGGAGAATATTCCTCTCTGGGGCCAGGGCGAAAACTAAGATTCACCTACGACTTCAGAAGACCAGACATGCCAGAGCTTTCAGAAGCTGAGAATGAAAAGGCCACTGACTGAGGCCCATCTAACTGACACGGGGGAGCTGTCCTCACCCACTGACACCAGGTGGCTGTACGTCTCCAACATCACATCCCTGTACAGGTCCTTCTGCTCGGGGCCCAGGAGCTGCCACTCCTCCCAGGTGAAGTCCACGGCCACATCGTGAACTGTCAGGGATTCCGGTAACAACTCCATGCTGTGTAACGGCGTGATGTCCTTTAGATGATATGGAAGAAATGTTAGTTTTTCTGCTCATTTTCACTTTATAGACTACACATATAGCGAGTGGGGTTTTAATTTAGTATACAGTTGAATAGTCACATGCCTATGGTGGAGAAAAGTAGTTTTACAGTTGTTCCTATGGAAAATAATACAACAATTAATAAATAATACAGCAATCAACTCTGTTTCACATACAACTGTAAAGCTACTCTTGGCCCACTTTGCAACGTATAATTGAGCATTCAATCATCCATGTGTTCATCCAATGAGGTGTTTCTGAAATATGAAGAAGTTAAATTTCTTGTTTCCTAGAAATACCACATTCATGTATTTGAGACACAATACAGGGTGTCCCCAAAAAATGTATACACACTTTCAATAATTATTAATTCCAGTAGGCTAAATCTGAAAGAAAGAAACATCAATTGAGCTATCAGTCTTAAAGTGTGTATACAATTTTTTTCGACACCCTAGATATATATATACTTCTCAGATGAACAATAGTGGTTTTTATAGGCCTCTAGACATCCATTCATGAAGACAGAAAAGGATAAAACAAACCCAAAGTCACCTGAGCTTGGAGCATTTTCTTCTGTTCTCTGAAAAGAGCTGGCGCCCTATCCAGTTTGGCTCAGTGGGTAGAGCATTGGCCTGGGGACTGCAGAGTCCCGGGTTTGAGTCTGTACAAGGGCACATGGCTGGGTTACGGGCTCCATCCCCAGTAGGGTGTGTGCAGTAGGCAGTCGATCAGTGGTTCTCTCTCATCATTGATGTTTCTAACTCTCCCCCCTTCTTCTCTGAAATCAATAAATTTTTTTTTTTTTTAAAGAGCTGACAACGGGGAGGCTCTGACTTGGTATGTTTGGGTTTGCTTTAAATTTCTGATACCCGATTCTTCAACTTCTCCCGATTCTTCAAATTCCTCCTGTTTCATATGATTCTATTGCTTCTGATGAGTCAGAACCTGTGCATTAAGGAGAAAATTCAATGAGTGACATATTTGGTCTGGGACCCAGTGCCAACGTCCTCCTGTTCACACAATGCCCCTCATGTCCCTCCCTTCATTTGATCTCCTAGAAGTATTCACTCTTCAGGTCCATAAAGCCTATATTATAAATGTGGTGGAGGCCCTAGCTGATTTGGCTCAGTGGATAGAGCGTCGGTCTGCGGACTGAAGGGTCTCAGGTTCGATTCCAGTCAAGGGCACATGCCCAGGTTGTGGGCTTGATCTCCAGTAGGGGGCATGCAGGAGGCAGCCGATCAATGATTCTCTCTCATCCATTGATGTTTCTCTCTCTTTCTCTCCATTCCTCTCTGAAATCAATAAAAATATATTAAAAAAAAATAAATGTGGTGGAGGAATTCCTTTATCCTGTGGAATTTAAGTGGTGCATTGTGAAAGAAGATGAGGGAAAAGCCATTGCAGGGGCAGAATAATTGTTCCTTCTATTCTAGGTTATTTTGCTGATCTAATAATTAAACTCATAGCACAGAGATTAATAAGGGAAAAACAATCAAAAAGGTTAATGACATGTATACCTCCTATACACATGGAAGCAACTCAGAAAAATAGAATTTTGCCAAAATGGCAAACATTATCACCTGAAAAACAAACCACTGTTACCTAAAGTCAAAAAGTGTTGTGGGCCGAAACCGGTTTGGCTCAGTGGATAGAGCGTCGGCCTGCGGACTGAAGGGTCCCAGGTTCGATTCCGGTCAAGGGCATGTACCTTGGTTGCGGGCACATCCCCAGTAGGAGATGTGCAGGAGGCAGCTGATCAATGTTTCTCTCTCATCGATGTTTCTAACTCTCTATCTCTCTCCCTTCCTCTCTGTAAAAAATCAATAAAATATATTTTTTAAAAAAAAAGTGTTGTGGGGAGCTCTAGCTGGTTTGGCTCAGTGGGTAGAGTGTAGGCCTATGGACTGAAGGGTTCCAGGGGTCGATTTCAGTCAAGGCATATACCTGGGTTGCAGGCTTAATCCCCAGTATGGAGCGAGCAGGAGGCAGCCTATCAATGATTCTCTCTCATCATTGATGTTTCTATGTCTCTCTCCCTCTCCCTTCCTCTCCGAAATCAATAAACATACTTTTTTTTTTAAATGCTGAGAACATCGTAACTATTAAAAAAATATGTTGGGGGTGGAGAGTCAGTTAGGTGAGGTTACTGGGGAAAGTACAGTAAAGTAGCTTAAGGCGGTGGTGCAGATATAAGTCCTGCTTCCTCCACTGATAGTTTAGGTGGGTTTGGTATAGTGAGGGAGACACCCTTACAGATGAAATGGCTCTGATAAATATAAATGTCCTTTTTAAGGGGTAACTTCTACTAGGTTTTCAGGGCTTCTCCCAGGGCTGCAGTTTCTTCAAGTCAACCTGCTTAAAATAACCAATATCCCATAGAGGCATGTTTTAGGGTGGGAAATGCTCCCCTTCATACTCACAGAATTGGGTAAAAGAGAAAATTCTCTCCCAGAAACGACTAACAGATTTTCACATATATAGCTGGCTAGAATTGCACTATGTACTTAAGCTCATTTCAAGGTAATTCAGTCACTAATGATGGGAACTGGAACCACCACATTTGACTAAGATGGACCTGGAATACCAATACACTGGCATATGGATCACCTTGTCACAGGGATGGAATCTAAAATACAAAGGAGTTTTTGTTAGGAAAGAAAAATGCATTAATGCATATCAGGCAAATAAGCAAGTGTCTCCTTGCTGTATATTCACCCATTAACTGCCATGTGTCCAAAACGGAAACCATCCCCACAAGCCAGGATATTTTGAATTTAACTTAAAAAATCAATTTGCAATGAATGTTATAAAAATAAATATATTCCTCACAATTCGGGTGTTCTTAAATATTTTCAGTTGAAAATTCTCACGAAAAATTATTTTAAAGTTGGTCAGGGCTGCCACTTAGGGAAAACATTTTTTTAATATTATTATTATTTTTTTAAATATATTTTATTGATTTTTTACAGAGAGGAAGGGAGAGAGACAGAGAGTCAGAAACATTGATGAGAGAGAAACATCGACCAGCCGCCTTCTGCACATCCCCACTGGGGATGTGCCCACAACTATGGTACATGCCCTTGACCGGAATTGAACCTGGGACCCTTCAGTCTGCAGGCCGACACTCTATCCACTGAGCCAAACCGGTTACGGCTTTAATTATTTTTTAAATACATTTTATTGATTTTTACAGAGAGGAAGGGAGAGGGATAGAGAGTTAGAAACATCAATGAGAGAATCATCAATCAGCTGCCTCCTGCACACCCCCCACTGGAGCTCGAGCCTGCAACCAAGTACACGCCCTTGACTGGAATCGAACCCAGGACCTTCAGTCCGCAGGTCGATGCTCTATTCACTGAGCCAAACCGGTTAGGGCCATTTTTAATTATTTTAAAAAATGATGAATAATTATTTTTCAAAATTATTAAAAATAATTATTGGCAAAAATAATTATTTTTAAAAAGAATTACATTAAAATATAATGAAGAATGCACACCACGTTTACCATTTTAGGCGTGAAATTCATGATAACACAAACAAATCTCAAGTGTCGCAGTGTTTCTCTCTCACGTGTCTGAGTGGCAGCCCTATATATCTATACTGGAATTTCTTCCATATATGCTGGAATATTTATGAATTTAAGTTACCATAATTTTCTTTACAAACCCAAAGATGTCACTAGTAAGTCTGATTTTACAATTTGGCGATCAGAATTGATATGCAAGGTTTTCGACTATAGACGTGCGGGTGTGTGTGTGGAAGGTCTGCCGCTTGCATCTATAGACGTTTATGGCATACAATGAGTTAAGAGATAAGTGCAGGCGTTGGCAAACATTTGCTGAAAGAGACAGATGAACATTTTCCAATTTGTAGACCTAAATATCTGTGTCACAACGACCCAATTCTGCCTTGGCAGGGCAAAAGGTGCCACAGAGGATACATGACAAACAGGCAGGACGCTGCTGGTTTAGTCCCTGGGTCTCTAGTTAGTCAACTAATGGACTAAAGGTTAAAAAACAGAAGGACTGCCCTAGCCGGTTTGCTCAGTGGGTAAAGCATCAGCCTGCGGACTGAAGGGTCCCAGGTTCGATTCCAGTCAAGGGCACCTGCCTGGGTTGCTGGCTCCAATAGGGGGCATGCGGGAGGCGGCAGCCAATCAATGATTCTCTTTCATCATTGACGTTTCTCTCTCTCTCTCCCTTTTTCTCTGAAATCAATAAAAATATATTGGAAGAAAAAACAAAACAAAACAGGAGGACTGGAAATAGTACTCTGGGCCCCAAGGCCTTTGGTCCCAACAGCAGCCATGATCTTAACCTTAATTAAAAAAACATCAGAACTTCACTCTTACAAGCTCCTGGGGACCAGAGACACTGATCCCACATTCTTCTTTTTTTATTTGAAATGGAACTTGCTTCTAAGTGACGAAGACATGCACTTGGGGGTGGGTGGATGGGAGTTCTCATTTGTTTGGAAATCCTAAATTAATGAGCTTGATAAACTGTTACTGCTGGCACTGGCTTTACCCCAAGTGGCCAAGCGGCACTGTCTGACTTTCTACTCTTAAATCCCCTAACCCCTATCCTTCCCTTTCCATTGACTTGGGACAGCCCTTGTAGACCTGACAATCACAGTGTGAAGGGGGGAATGGGGGAGATCACAGTGCATGGGGTTCAAGGTCACAGTGGGCTGAGCAAATGGGAGCACCGTACAAGTGAATCAGGTGCTTCCCTCTGCTCAAGTCCAGTTGTTCGCCATGGCAGTGCGCCCCCAAGCGGGCGAACCCAGGAGGTAGTGACGGGGTAGAGGTGGCATTCTTTCTTGCCCGCATTTACCTGCGCTGTTTGAAGCCTTCTGACCCATCAGCACCCAAAGGCTGTCTGATCACATGACTGGGCTGCCTGCGGTCTTCGGGTTGGGAGATTGTGGTTGGCCTGCTGAGGATGGATTTCTCTCGTTCCTCCT